TTACCACTTTTTCTCAGCTCTCAACTAACCGATTTCTTTCAACGATACGTCAAATGATCACAAGTCGTATCTAGTCGAAGACATTACCCTCAAAAATTGAAAAAATTTCCCTCGTTCCTCGTAAATGGAGGAAACCTCCAAACAAATTACAAATTTTAAAATCGGTAAATTATGTTATTTTTTTTTTTTTTAAACTTCCTTAATTTTTTCAAAATTCAACAAATCTCAATAATTTTTTTATTCAAACCTTAGATATTTTCCTTTTATTTGATATCATTTTATTGAAAATCTAACACTTACCCTGCTCACAGGGTGAGATTTAAAATAGTAACGTTTTCAACTTAACTTTTTAAAATATTCTGGAAACACTGGGTCCTTTAAACATATATCAAATTAAAGATTATTTTATGTACTATAAAATAAATAAAAAAATTTGTCGTGACACTTTATCTTCTGCATGCAAACGGCTGCCGTAGTTAAAAATACGCTATTTTTGTGTTAAAATTTTCGATTTTTAATTTTTAACTTAAAAATGCTTTAACTTTTTGAAAAATGTAAGTATCAGTAAAAATTTTTTTTGGAAATCTAATACTTATTCTACTCAAAGAGGGGGATTTACAATAGTAACATTTTTACAAAAAACATTATAATATGCATAATATTTGTAATTATTATTATTAATAAAAATATCAATTTAAAAAAAATTTCTTTAGATCCTCTTTAACTAAGTTTTATTATATTAAAGGATGATAATCATTGTTCATTGTATAAGGTTAGTAAATTTTTAAATATATTTTAAAATATCATCAATATATTTACAGGCTGTTTATTTCAATTGTATATTTCTCTTAAATATCTTACTGACTAATTCTGTTTCCATAGAAATACTAATTTCTTATTATGCAATTAAAAATGGCGAGAAATTTGTTTATTTCTTAAATTGGTGAATCGTGCGTTCTACTTAAAATATAAGTGAGTAAACCCATTGTAATATAATAAGACATACATGCAACTGGACCATGTTCCATCACAACAGAATAGTAGTTAAATTATTAAGTAGTGAATTATCCAATGGAAAGATAGAGCTTATGGTACAGTGAAATTATCATAATATTCATCTGACTAGTTTCATATACATGTAGATTTTTATGGATTTATTTTAGAAATACGTATTTAAAATTAATATATGCAAAGTGCAACAGAAAAATGAACACAAAATTAAAGCGCACATCCTATAATTAAAACTATTTTAGTGAATAATTAGAAAACAAAATTAGAAACAATGTGTACATTATTTAAAAATTAATCATCAAAACAAAAATTAAAAGAGAAAAATAAAAGAGTACAAAATGTTGCTTACAGAGCAATAAGATTCTATAGGTAAAACTTTTTAGTTTTTAATATTATTGATTTTAATAGATGGAACTTTAAAAAAAAAATTAAATAAATATTGCAAGCGTAGTAACTTTGAAAGAAATAATATCAACATTCTAAGTCAAGTACTAAATTAATTACATAATGAATTATTTATGTAGAAAATTAGTGGTTAATCTAGTAACATATGTCCGGTGTAAGGAAGAGTATGCGATATTTTTCCTAATACGACAACTTCATAATATGATGTTTGTTAAAACACATGAATTAAAAACTCTCCATAAAAAATGTAGTACAACATGACAACAGTACAACAGTTATTATAAATAATAATTTCTCAAATTGATTAATTTTTACAGGAAATTATAAAGAATTAAAAAATTAAAAAGTCAATTTGAAAATATCTGACATAGAACCTTTACAAAATGATAACGACGCGTTAAAATCATTTTGAGGAATAACAACGTACAATTGCTTATTGACTAAAATATTTAATTTGATAACACACATGTTTTTCAACAATTATCAACTTTCACTTGTAAACGTGAAAAAAATGCAATCGTATATCTTAAATTTTTATTAATATTTAATAATTCCATTGATAAGGTACAATATCAATTTAACAATATTTATTAATCTTTTCATGCTCAAATACGAACATTAAGATAAACCAAGCAACAATAATCAGGCAATTTATGATTATTGTGTCTACGGAATTACATATTGATTAGTTTTTACTGTGGCAAAATGTGCTTCCAAACTCAAAATTGATGCTTTTAAATAACAAAATCTCAAAAATGACTTATCCAATTTTAAAATTTTAAAAGTATTTTTGTTATAAATATAATTTCCTAACAGAAAATTTAAAAAAAAGTAATGGTTGCCTTTTAAATTTCTTAAGTTAGGGTAGATTTATACCCTTTTGCATTAGGGTTGAACTTTAATTTTAATCGTAAAAGATGCATTTAATTATTCAATTAGCCTCTAAAAAAAAAATGTTAAAAAAATTAATAGCGGCTCTAAAAAATCGGTGTTTCCGAACTTATTGAACACTCTGTATAAGGATTTATTATATCATTACTACAATTTTGTCAAAATAAAACAATACTGTAAAAGTATAAAAAAAAAACAATATTTGTTGCAAATTTTCGAGATTTAATTGTACTTATTGTATTAATAGTATATTAGCTTCAATGCAAAACTGAGAAGGTATTAATTTCACTATGAAGTGTTTTTTTCGCTTTATATTTACTCAAAATTCAAAGAGTTAATATATTTTAAATCTTTTTATAAAAAACTATTTGCTAGTTATAGTTTCAAATCTGTAAATAATTCATACATAATTATAAATTTTACTATATAAAGAATAGGTCATGCTACCTATGAACGTAACATAATTAGGACGAGTACAGATGATAAGAACGATGATTAAAATTACTAATTGAACAAATTTGGAGAGTTTGGGGATTTGATCAATTGGCTATCATCGAGGTTCTATCAGGGTTGCTGAGTCCAAGGGTTTAGAACAATAAGTAATAATTGTGTTCTTATAAATTATTTTTGTGATATTTTATGTTTCATATTTAAACATTGTTTAATTATGAAACTAAAAAATCCAATCAAAAAGATGTAAAAAATCTACTTAATTGAGCGTATTGTAAAAATTGATTATAATTTGTAAGAATCCATTGTTAAATTCAGGTGACACCCAAATAATTTTTTTAGAAATTATTTATGCAGTAACATGTCACCGAAAAATTTGGAAAATTATAGACTGGTAGTTGGCTACACAAATAGAGTCAAGAAATTAATAAATTACAAATTCAAATTATTTAAAAATTATAATAGTAAAATAATTACCTTCTCAGCTACGCATCAAAGATTATATAACATTATTTATAAAAAACCCAGCACAGGGGGATCGCGGCACAGTGGTGACGTGGCATAGATGGATCAAGTATAATGATATCTGACAGTGATTAAAATCACTATAAAAAAAAACGCTTCGATGCAAATCTTTAGAATAGTGTTTAATTTTAAAAAACTGGTGGATTATTCCAAAAGCTACATGTTCTGCTAGTTCCTTATTAATATATTGATTCAGATAAAGTATGTCGAATGAAAAAGGGATTATTAAGAAACATTATTTCTCATAAAAAAATTGTGTTGATTCATACACTTCTCAATAAGTTATAGCATTATTAAGTTAAAAATATAAAAAATAAATTCGAGAATTTTCACACAAAAAGCCATTTTCACCGTTAAGACAAAATAAAGTACGAAATTTTTTTTTACCATAATAAAGTATATTACATTAGCTTTAATTTAAGATATATATAAAAGTGTCAGACTTTTCGGAACACTTTCAAAATTTAAGTTGAAAAAGTAAATTTTTTGTGAAAAAGTTGTCATTTTAAATCCCCCCCTGTGGGCAGGTAAAGAGTCAGATTTAAAAAAAAAATATACCAAATGATAGGTAAAGACATCATATTCTACAAAAAAAAGAATTATATTGATCCATACATATTTCAAAAAGTTATAGCATTATAAAGTTAAAAATATAAAAAAGAATTTTTTTACAAAAATCGTATTTTAGCTTCGATGCGAAGCTGAGAAGGTATTGGTTTTACTAAGATGTTTTTTTTTTTTTTTTTGTGTCTGTTACCACTTTTTCTCAGCTCTCACCGAACCGATTTCTTTCATTGATACGTCAAACGATCACAAATCGTATCTAATCGAAGACATTACCCTCAAAAATTGAAAAAAATCCCCTCGTTCCCCGTAAATGGGGGAACCTCTAAAAAAATTACAAATTTAAAAATCGTTAATTTTCAAAATTTTTTCAATTTTTTTTACTGAAAATTGCTATTACTTTTTTAAAAATAACCGAATCAATATAATTCTTTTTTATATAGATGCATGATATCATTACCTTTCATTTAGTACATTTTATTTTTATATGTGACCCTTTACTTGCCCAAAGGGGGGGATTTAAAATGACAACTTTTTCACAAAAAATTAATTTTTTCAACTTGATTTTTGAAAATGTTACGGAAGGTCTGACACTGTTATATATATCTTAAATTAAAGCTAATGCAATTTACTTTATTATGAAAAAAAAAAAATTTCGGACTTTATTTTATCTTCACGGTGAAAATGGCTACCGAATGCTATTATTGTGTGAAAATTCTCGATTTTACTTTTTACATTTTTAACTTTATAATGATATAACTTATTGAAAAGTGTATGGATCAACATTATTTTTTTATGAGAAATAATATTTCTTAATAATCCCTTTTTCATTCGACATACTTTATCTGAATCAATATATTAATAACTAACTAGCAGATCATGTAGCTTTTGGAATAATCCACCAATTTTTTAAAATTAAACACTATCTAAAGATTTGCATCGAAGCGTTTTTTTTATAGTGATTTTAATCACTGTCAGATATCATTATACTTGATCCATCTATGCCACGTCACCACTGTGCCGCGATCCCCCTGTGCTAAGTTTTTTTTTTTAGTGTAGTCATTTTTGATTATTGCTCTTACTCCCAAAGACCGTCCAAAATAAAAATTATTTGATAAACTTAATAGTTATAAATATAGTAAAATAAAATTTACCTTTATTAAATATCAAACAGGTTATAATCAACAAAAGAGATATCAATTGCCAATTCTAGAATTAAGTAAAATATTCTTTTAGATATCAATGAAATATAAAGTAATGTTAAATGTATTACTCACCTCCATTTTTACTAATTGTATGATATTAGTATATTATACACTTATGTAATATCTGAATAACTAATGAGAATATTTGAGTTTGATTGATTTATATATATTTAAGAATTAATGACATCATTTATTATTTTTGTCATTTATTTTATTTTAAAAAAGAACATTTTGAGTAAATTATATAGTATATACAAGGCAGTTTCTGATATTTTAGCAAATCTAAGAACTTTTGATTCAGCGAATATTTCATGTTACGTAGTAACATAAAGTAACCTGAAATATTTTCTAATTTATAAGTTATTTTTTTTAATACACCGAGGACCACTCTGTATACTTAATTATTTACTGAATTAATTTAGTTTACAATAATATCACATAATATTACATATGTAAAAAAAACCCAATCACAATTGTTAAAACACATTCTTGATTTTATAACACCAAAATAACATTTATTGTTTAACTTCAGGTGCTTTTGACATATGAAAAAAAATTGCTGGGACAATTTATTTTTTTTTTAACTTATAGTATGTACCATAGACTCTAATTTAATGTATTTTTGGAAAGATAAATTATTTCTGGAAAATGTTCAAATGTTAAGTTGAAAAAGTTAACTTTTCATGCAAAAGTAGTTATGGTGCTCAGATAAAGGGTCAGATTTTCAAAAAATATATACATTTTTAAATTGAATTATTTAATATACTTATTAAAACAATTATTATGACTCTTCTTTTTTTCAAAATATTATGTCTTTTGAATGAAAAAAAGTTTAAAAAATGTCTAGCTTTACCATTTTTAAGAATTATAATTTTTTGGGGGATTTCCTTTTTTAACGGGGAACGAGGAAAATTATTTCAATTTTGAGGTTAATGTCTTCTACTAGATACAATTTTTAATATAAGAATATCAAAAGAAAGATTATTATGACTAATTTACTATATTTAATTTTAATTTGAATCAGTATTTAAAAAAGTTCTAACGTTTTAAAATGCAAAAATTTTTTTTTGAAAATATCGTTATTCACATTAGCATAATTTTATAAAATTTACAAAAATAATGTGTTTTTTTTTTATTTTCATCAATGATTGGTTTCAATTGGATAAAAATCGTGTTCTTTTGACGTATTATTAATTTAAATCGGTAATGAGGACTGAGAATTTTAATTGTTTAAGTATGATGTATGTCTAAAATCAAATCAAAATTATTATTTTATAAAATGAATATATTAACAAACTTGTTATTATTTAAAAATACATTTAATTTAACCTTATTGTAAATGGTAAATTGCGTCAGAGCATATTTTTGTTTTTAATTTTACGGCATACCAGAAAAAATAATAAAATTAATCGATTTGGTTTCATTTTATTATAATTCGTATTCAATTAACATTCGAATTCAGCAAAAAACGTCTAAATAAAAATTTTAGGTAAATATATTTCGCGAAAATGACTACATTTACGAATTAAATACGAATTAAAACTACATTTACATTACGAACCAAACTGACGACTAACGCGCGTAAGAACGGACTACCCTATCGATTAATTATTTATGACATAAATATATTTACAATAATATTAAAAAAAATATATATTTTCTTAACAGTACGGCACAATAAAAATATACATTTAACGGTAATGAACTGTCTTTGGTGGACAGCTGAATCGAAAAGTTCTTTGGAGAACCCGGTGCGGTGTTTGCTCACTGTACCAGTTCAAACTTTGACCACCCCCGCAAAATAACAAGGGGCGTTGCTCGGGAATTTGTGTCATTCGTCGGGAGACCGGTAAGTTCCGATCGTCTTTCGGCTTACATTTGTATATAACGAAAAAATTCAAATACAGTACTTACTCTTCTCACAAAATCAAACTATAATAAAAAACCCTCTACCTACGACTTCCAATCTGCCATTTCCCAACTTTCGGATTTTTACTATTAAACAACATACAAGGGTTACCCTGCCACCGATCGGAATGAATCGCGACAAAATTCCTATTGAAATCGGAGCGCGACACATTTACCATCATTTGCTGTGCCGAGGACTAATTGCAAGAATATGCGCGACGGACCAACTCTATCGCCGCCACTTGTGCCATCAGTTCCATCTGTTAGAACACCGACATTTCATTAAAAACAATCATTATATTTAATGATATTTAATTATATTTTTGTATTTTGTATTATTTATTTATCTATTTTTTATTATTTATTTTCTCACTCTTTCAATTGATTACAAAAGCGTTCATAATCATTTTTAAAGTTTATTTTATTATTACACAGTTTAACATATTAAATTTAAATGCCAGCCGTTTAACATCTTACTTCCATATTTCGCCAAACATTTTATTTATACCCGAATGATTTTAAATTTTGTTTCCCAGATGTTTTTCCTGGATGATTTTATTTATTCACAGGACACCATTCTTTCGATTTTAACACCGTGCGACCTTGCTGATGCAGCGTAATGGCATACGAAACATTTTAATAGGCAGCGCACAGAAAATTAATACGTGATTCATCACCTCTAATGTACAACATTATGTCTATATTAGCTTCGATGCGAAGCTGAGAAGATATTAATTTTACCATGATGTGGTAATTTTCCCTCGTTCCCCGCAAATGGGGGAAATATCCAAAAAAATTACAAATTTAAAAATCGACAAATTTTGTCATTTTTTTCACTTTTTTTTCTTAAAACTTCCATAACTTTTTCAAAAATCAACAAATCAACATAATTTTTTTTTAAACTAAAACCTTAGATATTTTCCTTTCATTTGATATAATTTTTTTGAAAATTTAACACTTAACCTGCTCATGGGGGGGGATTTAAAATTGCAACTTTTTTACAAAAACTAACTTTTTCAACTTAATTTTTGAAAATGTTCCGGAAATACTGCGTCCTTTAAACATATATCAAATTAAAGCTTATTTTATGTACTATAAAATGAAAAAAAAAAATTTGTCCCGACACTTTATCTTCTGCATGTAAACGGTTGCCGTAGTTAAAAAAACACTATTTTTGTGTTAAAATTTTCGATTTTCAATTTTTAATTTTCAACTTAAAAATGCTATAACTTTTCGAAAAATGCATGTATCAGCACAATTTTTTTTTTTCTAAATACATTATAAGTACATCTTCCATTTGACATACTTTTTATTAAAATTAGACAATTTCCCCTTATATAGGGGGGGTTCAAACTTTGAAACATTGTATAAAAAATAGAACTTTTTCAACTGAACTTTTGAAAATGTTCCGGAAATACTGCGTCCTTTAAACATATATCAAATTAAAGCTTTTTTTATGTACTATAAAATGAAAAAAAAAAATTTGTCCCGACACCTTATCTTCTATGTGCAAATGGCTGTCGAAATTATAAAAAAAATGTAATATTTGCGATAAAAATCACCTTTTATAACGATGTTTTTTGTACTTAAAACTGCCATAACTTTTTCAAATATTAACTAATCAAAATAATATTTCTTTATATTGAAACCTTAGGTAATTTTCTTTCATTTGATATCATTTTTTTTTGAAAATCTAACACTTATTCTGCTCACAGGGGGGATTTAAAATAGCAACTTTTTTACAAAAACTAACTTTTTCAACTTAATTTTTGAAAATGTTCCGGAAATACTGCGTCCTTTAAACATATATCAAATTAAAGCTTATTTTATGTACTACTAAATGAAAAAAAAAAATTTGTCCCGACGACCTATCTTCTATGCGCAAAAGGCTACCGTATTTAAAAATATGCTATTTTTTATTAAAATTCTAGGTTTTGTATTTTATTTTATTTTAAAATATTTTATTAGGGGAATAAACTGACTTTCATGAATATTATATAATTTCATTGACATAGAATAAAGTTCATAAGACATATGATATTATACTTATTAACATTTTTTACTTTTTTAAAGTCGAAAAAGTAATTTTTAAATTTGAGTTAGCTTAAATAGCCAATTTTATCATGCAACAAAAATCAACGAATAGTTGCCGAATGGGTAACACCTTGATCTTTAACGCCTAGGGTACGAGGTTCAAATCCGTTTGTGGCTTCTAAAATTTTGCATTTTTTTTTTGAGTTAGAATAGAATTTTCAAATCATTTGATATTTATCTCATTTAGATTCAATAATTTCAATAAATATAAAGGATCTTATCACTATAGTCTCCCCTCGTGAGAAGAAATTGATATTCATGTTAATATTATTTTACTATGTGGTTCTTTTTCTGGCTACGATTTATTTTGCCAACCCTCACTAGACCTACTTTTTTCAACGATACGTCAAATGATTCATTTAAGTTTATGATATTTAAGTTAATGATTAGTTTAAGTTATTACTCTTAAAAATCAAAAAAATATTCCTTATTCAAATAAAAAGTAGCTTAACTAGATTTGTCCATACAAACAATTAAAATCATTAATTTTTAATATTCTTAAATTATTTATTGTCGAATTAAATTTGATATGATAAAAGTATTCAACTACAAAAGTAAATAATTTTACTTTATAATTTATTAATTTTTTAACTCTATTTCTGTGTGCTACTACCAGTCTATAATATGCCAAATTTTTTAGTAATATGTTGCTATATAAATCATAAATTTAAAAAAAAAATGATTTTTAGTTTCACCTGAAGTTAACGATGGAGTTTTACAATTATAATTATATTTTTGATAATATGCTCAATTGAGTAAATCTTTTTAACTACTTTGGTTTGATTGGTTCATTTAATTAAAGTAAATTATTAAAATTAATTAAGTTCTGAATATTTCAATTGCAGAATTTTTTTAAACACCAAAAGTTATTAGGATATGATTACTATTCTTTCTATTTCAGTTATCTATTACGATAAAAATGTAAAAAAATCGAATTTTTCTGACAAATGTACTGTAATTAGTAATTATAAAATTTCCAGATTGCATATTAATCTTAAAAATTTCATTTTTTTCAATTTAATAATGTCAATTTCAAACTTGCAAGTTGAACTATAAGTTATGGTAACAAATTCATTTTTTAGCTTCGATGCGAAGCTGAGAAGGTATTTTTCATTAAAACTTTCACTTTAAAAGACAATAAAAAATAGGTTCAAAATGATTACCTTTAACATATTAAAAATCAAAATCAGTATTAATTTAAT